TTACATTGTCTCTTTTGGAAGTTGAAAAATATAATACATTGAGATTAAAAAAGGTCCTTTCTCTCCTCAGTAAGGACTCTGTAGGAACGTGTCATGGGACAGGAAGATAACCTTCTCAGTGCCACGATAGTTATAGTTGCTGTGATTTTGGAAGATGCAGTAGCAAAGCATGTTGCTGCTGTGGAAGGGTTTTTTCCAGGTCTTCTTGCTCTGAGAAGCTTGACATGTTTGTCCCTGCCATCTACTCCTCCTGGCAGGTATTTCAATTGCTAAATTTCACACCAGGGCTCATCAAGATGGTACCCCCAACATGCTACACAACATTAAGAATGAATTTGTGCAAGGTCTGTACTCACGCAGAAGTGGTCTGCATATCATGCCAGCTTTTGCTGAAGTTCTGCTTCAGCTCATTCATCAGACTTATGCCAAGCTTTTGTTTAATTTCAACCAGGTGCTTTTCTTTGGCTGCTAGCACTTGCCGCAAAGTTGAAATTTCATCCTCTAGCTGAGAGACACAAAGAGGGAGGAGAAAGGAGAAAGGTGTTAGCCATTCCCACAGAGCAATAAACACATACGATGTTAAGAGATTGAATGAATCTCACATAAACTTGCATTTTTTGTAGGTGACTAAAGAGACAGAGAGATTCAAGTGCTTACGGAGATCACAAAGACGTGTCTGGAACAGAGCTGACACTACATTAAATGAATGTCTTGAACTATGCCATCTATGTGCACCATCACACACATGCGTCTGATAAGAGAGAGAATTCTGCAGTAAGGAAATGACTATTGAGCGACTTGACCAATATCTGCCTTAGAGCATTAGGAGTCTCAAACATCAGCTTTCCATTCACTAGTAAAATGGGAATGGGCAGAGCAAGAGAAGACTGGATAATTCAGACAGATATCTCTCTTTGAATCCACAGGCTTTAACTTCGTATTTGCAGCACTTTAGTCTTACACTCACGAAAAAAATAGATGCACATTCTTAGGATAACAAATATGTTATCGCATGATAACATATGACTTGACAGAATCATAAAAAGTTACGTCCTTGACACATGATTTTTATCTATATATTTTACGCCCTACATATTTCAAAATAGGAAAATAAAAATATATAGCAGATGGACTGTTAACATGAGTGAACAGGTCCTACCCAAAGCATAGAATCATTCAGAAGACACAGCAGATTAGTCTTTTCAGAGCTCCTAGTCATTAACCAAACTGTGTGAAGTTGTAAAGACACCATTCAGCCCAAACAGAGGGATACAATTCTCCCTGCAGTAGATGTTATTTCGAACATTTAAACCGAGCCAGTGTTTTAGCAAGGCAACGACGAGAACACTTGACTGAGGTGAGGGACCGCTGAATCAGCCTGCCACTGGCTCAGGATCCTCCCCCTTGGGCAGCACTCCTGCGAGCTGGGTTTGCGTTCTTCACACAGAAGCCTCCACCAATTATACAAGAGGCACTCAGGGGTACTGAAGCTAACAAGGGCAAGTGACACCAGAGCAGCTGCCTTTCACTTCAGGTTTAGAAGTTCCCTTACCAACTGTGTTCTTTCCTCCATATGGATAACATATGGTAATGTATCTGATTACCATATGTTAAGTTCCCTGGAACCACAGTCTCCCTGTGATTTAACTCCATAGGCTGCAGGGAATGAGGCAAGCACCAGCAGAATGAGTTGCTGACCTTCAGGGCTATATTTAGGATGTCAATACCAGCATTATTTTTATTTTACACACTCATGCATTCTACTTCCCTGTAAAACTGGCTGCAAGCTCATTGTTCTTGAAAAGTCTCACCCTTGAATCCCTCAGCTATCAGTTTCTCTTTTGTCACTACCTGCTATCTAAATTATTCAAGCAGCTCAGGAATTAAGCAGCAAGACTATGAACACAAGGCAAAATCATGACCTCAGTGAAGCTGATATCAATATTCACCAATGTCTGTGATGCCAACACTTTGCTGGTAGAATACATAACAATCAAAAATTGCTTTATTCCTTCCCATGTCCTTTATGCTCCATTATATTCCTAACCTGCAAATTAAATGCTGTCAAGAGGCAGCATGAGTTTCTCTTCTGAGAGGATAACTGGTTAAATGCTTACAGAAAGAAGAAATCACAAATGTCAGCATTCCTCAGGCGGCAGTTCAGAGCTCCCTTTAGTTGTTTCCCACCCACAGCAAACCCCTTAGTGCACAAGTCTGCCTGAATAACACTGCTAAAGAACTTAACTTAAAGCAATACCAGCATGCTTACATGTACTTAAACATTAATACTTTCCATATGGGCTAGCAGTAGGCTGATCATTAGGTACCTGGATATGTAAACATTCAGGGGCTTCTGTTAAAATTACTTTCCATCTGTTCCATTGAATAGATACCTAAAGCTGTAAAGCCCTAAGCCAGCATTAAGCATGTGCTCAATGGCATAAATATGAACAACATTTTTGACTGTATTAAAAATAAGAAATTATTTTTCTTTAGAGATCAGAGTCTGGTTTTGATTTGACAAAATCCTCCTCAAGTTCCATCATTTTAAAATAATGGAAGATACAAAGCCTCCCTTACGTGCTCAGATATCAGTGATTGAAGACTGTGAAGTAGGCAGAAAGGACTAGGGACTTACAGTGGGATCCTGAAAAGCATTTAAGGAGGTTACATACCTAACTCCCATGGAAGTCAGGCATCACCTGCTTAGGCATTTTTGAAAAGTCCACTGTTATAAATGCAGACTCCGTTATGAAACTAGGGTTAAGTCAACAGAAATACAAGCTTCTAGTCCTCACGTTTCCCTTCTTTCTAAGTGCAACAGAGTCAGTAGAGATGCCTCATACAGGGACAAAGTTCCCTTCTCCCTTTTTGTGGGAATCAGAGTTAGTATCTGTTTTTTCCTTCCTCTATTATTGTGTGGGACATGTGCAAAAGCAAGGAGAGGAGCTGACCACCTAAGACATTACCATTCCCATGATTAGCTGACATGAGTAACATGTAAATCACACAAAGGTGAGACCCCAGGAAAAAAACCCACAACTACAGATAGATCTCTCTGAAATCTGGGACTGACTAATAATACGGAAGAAGGACAGTGAAGTCCAGGTAAGTCCAGTACACAAATACAAAAAAGTATTTTCCCTTGTTTTGCCTTTTTTGATTATTTTAGGGCAAATTGTATGTTTTAGAGGGTTGAACATCCTTTTAAGATGGTGGCATGCCTGAAAAAAACACCCCAGTAATTCTCTCACATATAACCTTTCCCATTTTTTCCAGTAGACACTCACAAAACAGCTCATAAAAAACAAATCAGAAAGTACTTATTCAGTAAAATGGAGCATTTTGGATAAACTACTATTAATAAAAAATGATGTCAGTTGGTATTATCTATGAGATATACACAGTACTACGTAAAATGTGCAGGTGGAAAGATTCAGCTATTGGTTGGAATAATACTGATGAATGGGTTGAATGGTAAGCTGAATAGTAAGTTGAGTATTTATTATGCTTGTTTTAAGGATCAAAGCAGTAAGTGATTAAAATATTAAGGGGCCCCAACAGAAAACAGAAGCCAGCATAGTTAAATGTGTACTTCTAAGTTAGATTAAGCACCCTTTTTCCCTACCACTACACCACCCAAATGTGTAGTTCCCTGGCCTGGCTGTTTGCACAGCCCTCCTCACCAGGGGGAGCGGAACAGGCAAAAGCCATCACAGAAAAAAAAAGGGCTATTTTTAAGCCAGATCCAGTGCGGAGAGGTGTGCAAGTACCTGTGTGGGCACAGCACAGAGGGCAGGAACAAGCGGCTGGAGATGGAGAAGAGAGGAAGGCAGTTATCAATTAAAGCAGCACACGCAGTACATCCATCGAGGTCGTGGTCTGTGATATGTACCACAGGTTGTACCATACATCACTACTGACAGGTAAGGGAGACATGGCTGTTTAGGAGTGAGAACTATCTGAGGGACAGGCTTTGTCAGGTATTGTTTAAAGAAATAAAAAGCAAGTTACACCACCAACACCAGCAGTGTGATAATGTGCTGACAAAAACTTTAGAAGGAGCAGGCAACTACAGCAAAATCAGCAAAGAAACCGAGGCCATGGTCCCGACAGGGAGGTCCTGGAGCCAGTGCTGTCCCAAGGAACTGCCACTGGCCCCTGTGAGCTGGTACACCCGTCTTTGCTTGCACCACCACAATTCCCCCCTGTACAGGTGTGTCACACTAGCTCACAGCACAGCACCTCCTAGCCGTGCTGCCAAAACCAGCCAGAAGGCAGGCAGGTGAAAACAGTAGGGGTAGAAAGTTTGAAAGGGCACTGCCACAAAACCTCTCACATTGTGCAACCATGGCTCGGAAATACCCTGGATCCTCAGGGCAGGCTCACACACTTCACCACCACAGGTACTACCGTGGCAGCCAGACCGCAGCGTGCATCTGCCTGCCTGTGCTAGAGCTGAACATCAACTCTCTGCATAGCTATGTCCTGTAAGAAAAGCTGGAAAACATGTAACAGACAAAAAATGCAATAAGGAAGGACCAGCTATACCACTGGTGGGAAGAGCAACTATGAAGAGGTACTCAATAACAGAAAGAAGTTCATTTTGTGAGGAAGAAAATAATCTTTTCCTTCATTTCATTGTCTTTCCAAAAAAACCCCACAGGACTGCATCTTCTCTATACTGTTCTTTCATGTACTCCTTTTTATGTCAGAAGACACAAAGAAAGTTACAGCAAAGATACAGAAAAACTGTCTTTCAATGAAGCCAGTCCATGGGACCCTTAAATTTTGATTAGCTATTGTATTTAGTAAACTAGTGATTGTTATTGAATTGTTAGCTCTTTTCAAAATTGCTGAGCATTATAACATGTATACTAAAATGCATAAAATATTTGTAAGGAAATGTGAGCAACTTACTATGGCAGCCTTTTCAAGAAAGTATTTGTAACTGTGAACATAATAACATAGCACAAAAAGTAACAGGCACTTCACCTCTGCACCAAATCATATAGCACAGATTTTACACCTCCAGGCTGAGTACCTGTTGATTTGTAAGTTTTTCGTCGGGTGAACAGCACCTGGAGACATCAGGGACATTCATAAATAAAATTAGCCATAAGTTTGCAGAAAAAGGTACTCACATCTTTCCTCAAACTGGGAATAAACATGCAGTAACACACATAGCTGAACTTAGAATCCGTGCATCAGCTTGAAAGCTTGTATATCAAACCAGATAGCTGCTTTTGTGAAGGTATGGGAGGGGGAAGACAGCAAGGAGTAAATGACTACTTTGATGAGCGTAATGGAAGGACAACTGACAGCAGTGAACGAGATAGCTCAAAACCTCAGCCCCCGTCATGACTCAGGAGTCATTGTACCATGCCCCTCACACTGAGGGAGGAAGAGGGGAAGAAAAAAAAAAAAAAAAAAAAAATCTGTTCTGCTAACAAGCTTCTGGCCTTACGTAAAGCTTTTGGGCTACAATTTTCTGCTATTATTCTGAAATGTCAGACTGACCTCTGTTAATTCAAATGACTGTTAGAAGTTCCTGTAAGAGTTACTCATTTTACTTGCATTGTAGAAATTCCAAGGCTCGATTAGAGTCAGAGCCCTGCTGTGTTAGCCAGACTACAAATACAAGAATAGAGTTAGTCCACGCTCTGAAAAGCTTCCAGTACAAAGAGACTACTAGCAGGGGAATAGGAAAAGAGTATACAAGAAACCTGTCAGAAAAACAGTAGTGCTAGTTCCCCTCCTAATGTCGGGGAGGGAAGGAGGAAGAGGAAGAAGACAGAGAATATATACAGCAGATACACAACACAAAGATAGAACATATTTTTTTCTGTTTAAATACATGCACAACAGTTGCTCACAACAGCTCCCCATTATATCAGCTACAAAGTGATTGCAGCATTAAGGAAGATTTGAACATTTCAGAACAAAAAGAAGAAAGTTGTTTGTTCCTACAGGCTCAAACAGGTTCAAACAGGTATTACCTAACACATAAGGACATGGAAGAAAACAAAACTACCACCAGTAGAGCAGAGGGAGCTTGAAATTAAAGACTAACAGCTTTTCAAAAGGAAACATTAGCCAATTCCCACAGAGGTTTCTTTCTGAAGGAGTCAAGGTCTTACATGTTTTTTACAGCCTTTTCTAAGAATCATAAGCCTCATTTACGTTTAGACTTTGTTCACTCTAAATTCAAGTTTTCCAAACCTTTCTTAGCAAAATTACCAGTTTTATTTTGTTTTTAAGCGTAAGCTGTATGCCAGTAAACTGCTGCGAGCAATTCAGAAAATAATTTCTAGGTCAGCCAAATTCATAATATTTGAAAGGCAATCTCTCACTTGTGTATTGGTACATAAATTAAAGCTTTTCTACCATGAGCCACTGAGAACTCTCTGCTCCCACAGGAATCAGCAAGCAGGAAGGATGCCCAGGAACTCTTGAGATTAATTCTCTTGAGAGAGGCGTATCTTTCTCAGATGGTTGCAGGAAGTTCTTTTTTGATTCCTTGTTTCCATCTGCCTCTTAAGTCCCTTTCACCAGAAAAGAGAATCACGGAATGGCTGAGGTTGGAAGGCACCTCTGGAGGTCATCACGTCCAATCCCGCTACCCAAGCAGGGCCACCTGGAGCAACTACCCAGAACTGTGCCCAGGCAGCTTTTGAATATCTCCAAGGATGGAGACTCCACCACTTCTCTGGGCAACCTGTGCCAGTGCTCAGTCATACTACTGTAAAAACGTGTTTGCTGATGTTCAGAGGGAACCTCCTGTGTTTCAGTGTATGCCCGTTGCCTCTGGTCCTGATGAAAAGCCAATAATGAACACCCCAACTCCTATATCATCACTATGTGATGAACTGAACATGTAAAGTTTCAGCTTCCTTCTTATTACTTACAGATGTGACAGGATCAGCAAAGAAGTAAAAATTAACCAGCAACTCAAAAACACAAGGCTTGATAAAACATTAAAGCGAAAAAACAATCTTTTGGGATTTTTTTCACTGGAAAATCCTAAATCAGTACTGAAGGTAAATGACTTGAGAGTCATTAAGAATGTGACTTCTTAAGAGTATTTAATATTACAACTTAATGTTAATTTAAATATTTCTGTTGTAGGAAAGACAGGGATCAATTTCTGCAAAAAACCTGTCCTCTGGATGCGCCCATTCTGTGTGTAATAGCGGCAAATGCTTCACAGAGCACTTCGGGACAATTATGAAGGAATACTTTTTTCCTAACTGGTTTACACATTGAGGATATATGCTCACAGTCCCAAATTCTGGGTTTCCTACTATTCAAATGGGTTGTTATTTTATTCATGCTATGTGAAGCTTCCAACCTACTGTCTTAAAAATTCATTATTTCAATTAAGACAAAAACAACTCCCCTCATTCATACAGCTGTGATTTCTGTTATTTGTCTCATATTTAAAATAAATAAACCCTCACTTTTTCCCATTCTCTCATTTTCATTTTGGAATTTCACTTCTGTTTCTGTGGTATTCAGCAGCAGAAATTAAAACTGAATTCACCCTCCCATTGTAGACCGAATCCAGACAATCTCTTTAATCTTTGTAATAAAAAGACCACATGGTTCACACCTTTTTCCTCCCATCTACTTGTTATTATTTTTAAACCTCTTCATGGTTTCATGACATCCCCTGAAGTTCTTTAATTAAGCAAAAAACAAATGCAAACCAAAAATATAACCTTCTCCAAACACATCAGTGCCAAAGGAAACAAAAATGTGGTGAAATTACTGTGCTCATCATCATCAGTCCCTTCTGTAACCATCATCATCAGCTTCTCCTCTGAGCACCACACAAAGAATCTTTTCCATCAGGTGTCATAATCACTGTAACAACAATACCATAGATCTAATAAGAAGAGCACCTTTCATTCTTTATAAAGGAAGTTTTATAAATAAAGACACACATCTTGACTAAAATGGTAAGGTATATTTAACTTTCTCTCTACAATCATCAAGTAGAAGATATTTAATCTTCAAAAAAAAATCTAAGGAAATTAATTGCTTCACATTATTGTAGCCTAGAATAATTTTACTAAAAAGGAAGAACATACCTTTATGATGTGTACTTCATCCTACAATTAATATCTTCCAGTTTAAGGAAGTAGAAACAGTAACACTCACAGAAAATCAAATTCATTACCTTGGCTAGCTCAATCTTTAACTCTTCTTTTTCTTCTTCAGAAATCATATTGGTGAAATCAACATCAGTGACCACATCTTCATCTGCTTCATGCAAAGACTGGGTTTCCAACAGGCCTTAAAGTAAAGAATTAACAGGTCAAGACAACCATTATCAATTATTTCAGCTATGATACTGACGTCCCCTAAAATCTAAGAATGATATAATATTCACCCACTAGGAAAAAAGCAAAGAAAAATAAAACAACCTTTTCCTGCTAAAGGTCATTTGTATTCTGCTCCTCTTTGCTTCTGAAAAGCTATTGGAAGTATCAGATGGTAATGTCTGCACAGAAGCAATTTAATATGTGAAAGCACCACTTATTCACAGAAAGCAATCACCTTGGACCCCACTAGTCCCTGACGAGGCATCTCCTTGCTTCTAACAATACAGAAGAAAAAAAGGAAAAAAGAAAGCTTTTTCTTCAAAATAAGAAAGCCAGTTAATGTGGAACACTGATGTGAATAGTGAATAGTACACTGAGCAATATAGGAAGTATATTACTGAACCAAATTTGCTTTAAAAGTACCTCTGATTGCAGCAATTTGAGAACCTTACAGATGTACACAGTTTGCAGAAGCAAATGCCATACCTGCTGTTTGAATTTTCTAAATGTTAGAGAGAAGCATAACTTAATCGCTCAATCTAAACCTGTGAAGGGTGAACAATTATACTGGACCTCCATTTACATTCTTCTGCTTGTCCAAGATCAGGATCAGTATGTGTGTGATAACCAAGATAAGCACATACATAAATGTTCGCGAGACCTGGGCCTGCCTGGTATAATATATACAGAGGAAACAAAATATAACTCATCTCCCAATCATTCAGTAAAGAGAAGAATGATTGCTGGGGTTCCAGTCATTAATAGCCTCTCATTCTTCATTGTCTGCAAACAAAACAATGCAAAACATGAGATAACAGAACTTGTTTTAAAGTTCTCAGTCTGTTTCTGTTGTGGAAGAAAATTCTCCTCCAGGCTACATCTGGGACAACACTTTTCCCTGTATTTCAGTTCTTTAGCGGGGTAATTAGCCATCTCAGCTGACTCTTGACAGGAGCAAACTCTTGACATCTGTATACTGCTTAATACAGAAGAGAACAACTTCTTTCCCAGGTCCACAGAGGCCTGTATTCTCTATTACATAGAGATTAGAATTTAACTTTGTTAAGTTTTGGCAATAGGGAATAGAGGTTACAAGCAGCAAGTCTGGAGTATTCAATGACTTGAAATTGAGTACTTAATATTTTCATGCAGAAAGCAAAACTCAGCATTGTTAATTACAACTTCCCCTGAGTGGAAAGATAAAGAACAGCAACACAGGTGCTGAACCTCTGCCTGGCACCATATGCAAGAATAGAGCACCACCCTTAAGCGCAAAACTTTTTACAAAACATGAAAGCATATAGAAGCATATATACCTTAGCTATCACCCAAAAAACAGCTTGCCAGGAAAACCTAGATTGCAGAACTCACAACAAAAGAAAAGCACATTTATTCAGTAGGAATACTCCCAAAACACCTTTATTAACACCCCTCCATCCCTAAACACAACTATTGTTTGGTATTTGTTTGAGGATTAATAGTGTTGCTATGGGAATAAGGCTAAACTTGGTCCCCACGGTCTTGAAAGCAGTCTCTTTTTTCATGGATAGAGGAGCAGCAGTACAGGGCAGCTCTTGGAAACACCAGGAAGAATCTCAGGGGCAACAGGGTCAAGGCTGAAAACCCCTAAGGAAAGTCTTGGGGTAGATGTGAGTTGATGCAATCTTGGAGCAACTGATACTTGAGCTAAAAAGAAGACAGATCTGTGCTCAAGGGATAGCATTAGTTTGGGATTAGCTAGATAAAGAGGCCAGAATTGCTGGACAATGGTTAGATAGATATGGAGGTCAACATGGGCCAAAATCACCAAAGACAACTGAGTAACACTTAACTAGACCCAATGGTCAGTCAAGTTCAAACTTCAAGATTGAACTGAAACTACAATCCATTCCAAAATAGCACATGCATGTCAATCTTCTGCATGATCCTCTGCAACCTCATCCACTGCCTGGACTTCACCTTCTGCTGCCATTCTACTTTGTTTAAGACAGCTTCACTGGATCCTCTCACCAGCTATGACTGACCACTTCAGTTCTGGGCCAGGTCTATCAGCACAGGTAGTATGCTTCACTTCTAGTGCTAGGTCATCTGAACTTCTCAATCTCTTTTCCCCACTTGAGCAACAGAAACTCATTTCTTGAATCTGACCTGAAAAGATCTCTTCACCAGTGTCTGGGGCTACCCTCAACAGACCATTTCTCTAATTTGCCTGTCTTAGTCTTCAGCTTAGGAAAGGGAGGAATAAAAAACTGAACACATTAGGAAGAAAACAGGCTTCCTGAGGCAGAAGAGATCTCAACTCTGTCCATCTATTGAGAACGTAAACATAGAACTCTGTCTCTGTGATTTATATCAGAGAATTTAGCATCCACAATTTCAAGCAATTGCACAGCAAAGTATGCAGACAAGGTTCCCAAGACTTTGTTCTTCTTAGTCTTTTTTTTTTTAGTTTATGTGCCTGTCCCTATTTCCCCTCTAATAACCACTGCGTCCTGTATTAGATTTCCAACAGAGTTAGAGGTCTCTTAAAACAAGTTTAATGAAAACAGTCAGTTGGTAGAGAAGATTTAAAGTGATTTCACAGACAGAGAGAATGCTAGATGAGCTCATCCTTACATGAGGTATCTGACAAACCAAACAGGGAAGAAGCATCATTCATAAAATCTGTTTTACAACACAGAAAAAAATGTCCAAGTTTGTTCTGAGCACCACAGCATCCATTCCACCAAAGCACACCTTCTGTGAGGTTCCTACAGCACCTTACCCAGGAAAAGTTCAGCGCAGCCTCAGGAGGAACTAGAGTATTAACTTGATTCAAGGAAGTCAGCCAACCACAAGACACAAAACCGTAGGAAATTAGGCTATCAACATTTTCCTGCTCATAAGACAACTTGTTAGTTTTGCAGTCTGCAAGGAGAACAGGAACCTGCAGCAAAATCCACACCAATATATATAAGAATTGGTAATGATTTTGGTAGTAAAACAGCTCCTACCACTAGTATTGCTGATCCCAAAATATTCTCCCACCTTCTACTCTGTGCACGTAGCACAGCCTCCTCTCAACCTTCCCTGTAGGGTCCTTCCAACTAGGCAGCCTGGGAAATACACCGTTCAGACATTGGTTATAGATGCACCAAGTACAGAAGCATAATAGAATACAAGAGCTCAGCGGGATTGCTGACGTGTCTTGAATTAATCACATGAGTAATTCTTTAAGAATCAAGGAACAAGGTAGGTTCCTATTTAGTGTGTTTAATCTAGCTACACATTTTGTTAAACACACTTAATCTAATAATCCATGAAAACACAGACAAGGATGAGTTGATTCAGCTAAATGGTTAGAGCTGACTCCTAGAATCTAAGTATTTTTCTACGCTATATAGAAGAGTGCCAGATTTAGGCATGTAAAAGCCAGAATTTTAAGATAACACTGCATTTTATACTTTATACCATGTACATTCAATTCCAACAATTATGTACTTCACCCAGGAAAAAAGAAATCTGCACTTTAGCAAGGCAGACATTCATCTGTGCGCATGTACATTCAGTTTATACATAGAGTTGCTGCAGCTGAGCGCGTTACACAGTTCTTCTTGTTAAGTTTCACACTTCTTCCTTTGGGGGTAGCAGGAACTTAACTGGTTCCAATTCACCTGGAATTAAATATATCTACATAGTATATATCTATATAGATAACTATATATCTATACATAGTCATAATGTATCTATAGTTACATAAATAATCTGTAAATTCTCACAGAAACTAAAATACAGATCAGATGTCCAAGGCAAATCTTCCCTGCAGCATTGGAATATGATAGCTTTTACTGTGCACCTCGATTTCCATTTGCTGATCTCTAACCAAAACCCATCTTCTCCTTTAAATTTAGGTTATCTTAAATAATAGTATTCAAATGATCATTAGCTGCTTATTAAAATAAGCTTGTTGGGAAGTTGCAAATCTGGTCAGGTAACATTTCAAGGCTCTGTTTTCCCAATAGCTTACTGAAAGTATGGGGAAGCTGTAAAAATAATTTAAGTCATTCTTTCTCCTACTTTATAGGATTAGGGAAAATATTTATTACTAACTCTCAGTTAAGGCTCCTTCTGACAAAATATAGGGAGCATAAAATTTCAAAGTGAAACATTTCCCAATGGCTAAATTAATTTTCCATATGAAGTGACAAATAGATGCCTGGTCAGAAATTATTGCCAAATTACCAGCTGGTTTTATGTACAGGGAGCTAAAGCAGTTTTACCTGCATGCTCACAAAAGCAAAGACACTAAAAGAACCTACTCCCCTAGGGTTCCTAGCCCTGATTATTAAATTTAACTGACTTCACTGCACTGAGACTCACAGTAATTCTAGAACTGCAAGATATCTGATACTCCCCAGACCAATACATAATGATGCTTTAATCCTGATAAATTAAAGTTCTACGTAGTGAATGGCATTGCTAAAGCAGCAACAATAAGCAGAGGGGTTACAATTAGGACATTATTATATTTGAAATGGAGAACGATATAGGTCAGCATCCATCAGCTCAAACTCAGACTACAGTTGTGTTAGTACAAACTACTTCTCTGCTAGTTAGCCATGCCAAGTTACACAGCTTATCAGCTCAGGCACGCTGATAACATAACATAACATAACATACTGCTCTGGAGCCTTGAGCTAGGACCTCTGCTTTGGATATGTACCAGTTGCTCAGAGCTTGTGGGTATCTCTGCACTGTGCTACACTGCAAAGACAGCAGAACATTCCTTGCAGTCACTGCTTTCTCTCTCTAGATACTGTCATCTCACACAGTTACAACTAGAGTCTCCAGACCGAGGGGAGTATTGTGAGTCCCTGACAATGACATGGCCATGCTTTAAGGGCTTTAAGGTTTCCAAGGAGCAGCCTAGCACCCTCCAATGCACTTTAAGGAATGTCATATAAGCCCACCCATAAGTACTGCTCTCATACGACCTCAAAATCCTGGGCAGGCATTTTCCTCTCCTGCCCAGCTACGTAACCTGACAACACACAGTTAGTTGGTCTGGGAAAGACAGTATTTTTGTCTAAAGATGCATAGGTATTAGCTATGAGCCATGGAAGGTTTGGTCACTTTGGGAAGGGAGTTGTACAAGTAGCTGAGATGCTTTCAAGATTAACATAAAATCTTGATGGATATTTGGTAGCAGAAGAAAGAAAAAAAAAAAGGGAAAAAAAAAAGGGAAAAAAAAAAAGGGAAAAAAAAAGGGGGGAAAAAAAGGAAAAAAAAAAAAAGGAAAAAAAAAAGGGGGGGAAAAAAAGGTCCCAATGCTCCTCCTTTTCCTGACTAGTATGTATGTGCTTCTTCATGGAGGAATCACGTTCAAACTGCATTCCCTGCTCCCCTTCCCCACTCTTCCCAGAAACACTGAAGATCATGCCTTGTTTCTAGCTGTGGTCAAAACTGGAAAAACTGAAATTTTGATGGTTATTAAAATTGTTCAGATGCACAGCTGCTATGATTTCAGAATTATACCAATATGTG